CCGAAAAAAAAAAAAAAAAAAAAAAAAAAAAAAAAAAAAAAAATAAACCGCTTCCTTGGGAACTGTGACACCACCGACACCCGGCAAAAATCACCCACCCCCCACCCTCCCCATCTCCCCCCCATTTAATCTTATCACCCTGTTTTCAAACTTCATACCCACGGCGCCAGGGCAAACCTCACCCATCATTGACCCTCCCTATTACTTCCTCCCCCTCTCCACCCACCAACCCCCACCACCCCCCCCCCCCCCCCCCCCCGGGCCCTGGGGGGCGCCCGTGATCGAAACATTTCACACACTGATCGACGGAAGACGACTCCCGACGACGGGAACGCGGATTAATCTTTTCCTATTCTTACTTCTCAACTGGCCATCCCCCCCCAGACACTTGCCTACCTTAGGTAGGCTGACTGACGTTGACTCAGTGGCATCGAGTCAAGACAGCTCACACAGTCTCACAGTCTGACAACTTGCCACACATTCACCAGAGACAATGATCCAGCCCCATGCAAGCCCGTTGAGGGATTTTTTCCACACAAAAACATTGACGCATTTTTTTCTTTCCTAATCCAAATCATATTTCTCTAATTCTCCAAGCTTGGACCGGAGATCACATTCCAGCGTTCAGAGAATGAAACCAGAGCCCAGACAGAGCCTCGTCACCTTGAGCCCAACTCGCCGGACGTGTGTTTGTGTAAGCAAAAAGTCAGATTGAGTTCGAGACACATCAAATTGTCTCTCCTAGACACTACAAAGTAGCACCGCGGCCGTGAAGAATGCATAGGTAGACCAGAGCAGAATTACCAGCCACAAGACGTCCAACACAGGAGTGGATTCAAAAAACCCGAGACAGATGATATGCAAGTAATCACAGTCCAGATGACTTGACATTTCTCTCTTCCCCCTCCTACCGACCTAGCCCTACTCTTCACGCCCTCCTGTAAGAGACGAGCAACAACCAGAAGAAGAACCCACGATTCCGCATCGTCCGACCACGCCTCCCACTCTCCTCTCCGTGTGCCCGCTCCCGCTCCCCCTCCCTCGGCGCCGCCGCCGCATCATCCGGCCTCAAGTCTGGATCCACACCCATGAAAGCGTGCTTAGACAGACATCATTTCCAGTGCCAGCCTCTGAAATAGACATCGTCCCGCGTGATGTCGCGCATTCGCAGGACCCTAGTCGCATAAAAGACCTCCCCCGTGCGCGCTGTTCGCTTACAAGGGTGGCTGGTTGCTAAATGACCTCATAACCATCCTCACGATCGAACCACCGTCCACAAAGGCCCAAGGGACCGCACGGACGAACAAGGGTTCCCTTTTCATGGTTGTTCGCTCGCAGTCCTTTCCCTGGGAGGATCCACGTGGGATATCAGACCCCGGTAACAGACGTTGTCCGTGGATGACGTTGATGTCGACCCTGTCCCATGTCACTTCCATCGTCTGCAATCAATCGATAGAGGCCGACCACACAAGTCACTTTTGAGGGCACCGATGATTGAATAAATGATACTGATTGATTTCTGCAACTTAAACTGGGGCTTCCTTCGTCCATGGAGCCAAAAACAAGGAAAGGAAGGGGTATATCCAGCTCCTCCATAATCTTCCTGCCGCTTCGAAAGGACAAGCGTTTCGACTCTTGCAATAATGTCGAGTCGTGTGAACAATAATAATAATAATAAAAAAAGGTCGAGCTGCGCTTCCAGTGCGGCGTGTGGTGAATGCTATAGCGCAATCCGGCAAAAAAGAACAAAACCAAACAATCAAATCCCATGCGTCCGTCTAAATAAGTTCAACCTGTCGGCGCTGCATCCTTGCAAATCGACGACCATATTACACGTAAAAGTTGTTGCCCTATTGAGCGCGCAAACTGTGCGATGGCATGGTTCCAAAAGGTTGAACCGAGCCCAGTAAACAATAAAAGCATTCCTGATAAAAGCGCAAGCGCGCTTTCCATTTCCATGACTGAAACGTGTTCCAGTCGCCCGTGGTAATCATTGCGCAACCAAAGCATGCTTTTGATGTCCATCCCTGTAACACACAAGGTCGATGATGCCGTGCGTTCGTTCGTTCGTGTCGTTCTCGTCCCGTGTAGGTTCGGGTCCGTGTGGTATCTTGGGTATCGCAAAGAAAAAGTCCTTGGTGTATCCCCCATGCATAATAGCTCGCGCCAGATTATGTGTATGGTGATGAGTAGAGGGAACTCCAAATCCGTCGTGTGTCAATGAGATGGAAGAGGAAACTCCCTGGAAAAATGAGATCCGGAAAACATATTCCTAATCGTACAATGGGCCAACTCCATCCGTCGGTTCGATATTGGGTTTTCTTGGTTTTTTGTATGGTGGTAATCAGGTATGGCTCCGATGTGTTATCCGCAAGCATCCGTGAAGTGGGGCCACTCCGTCCATGGAACTTGGCAGCATAGACAAAAAGGAGACCAGGCAGAGTATCCAAGGGTGGGGTCCGTTTACAGCGTGGGGTTCCTGAGGATGTCATCGCAGTTGGCGTCGAATCTCAGAATGAAAAGACGAACGCCCTGCATGAATCGCTCAGTCTTGTCCAACTCACGCTCGACGCCGAAGAGGGTCTCGACAAACTGGACACCGGCATTCTTGCCGAGAGAAGACGATTTCTTGCTCGCCTTGAGCATGGGCGCCTCGCACGTCTTGAGCAGCTTGCGGAGCTTGTCAGTAAGACGCTCACCCGCGTCAATGAAGTCATCGAGGCATTCTCTCTTCTCGGCACTGCGTACGCGGTCAACAGTCTCCTCTCCGCGCTTGAGCTTGCCAGCCAGTTGAATCAGCAACAACCACAGCTCACCGGCCATATCAGCAATAGGAGTGGCAGGTCCATGGTGGTAAACGGTCCAGTCATAGATCCACTTGCCCAAGGAGTTGGAGTCAAAAACGCTGCCCAGGAGAAGTATAGGCTCCTCGGTAGGGTCCCAGTTCTTGAGTGAGTATCCTGGGGGAATCTTGTGCTTCTTGGCATCAGCCTCGGTAGCCTGTCGAGCCACTGGAGGCGGTGGGGGCTTCTTGGCATCAGCCTCAGGACGAGGGTGTTGAGCCTTCTTGGCCTGGGAGCTGCTGCCGGGGCGGGTAGTGGAGGGCCGCTGGGGAACCGAGGTCGAGGCACGGCGAGAATGGGTGTTCGCGGGGGTGCGGGTAGGGCGAGGCTCATACGCCGGGACATCGCGCTCAATGTAGGCAAATCCGCTCTGTTTGGGGTAGTGGTAATCAGTGGGATATCCTCGAGCGGCGTCTTCATAATAAAATGTCTCCTGAACAGAATGCCTCTTGCTCCTCGCCCGTGACGACTGTCCCGGCAGCACCCAAGTACGGCCATCCATCTCGATGATCTCGTCCTCGTCGGATTCTCCGTGGGGCGTCGAGGCCCGTACATAGACAAAAGAAGATCGGCGCTCGCGCGTTGGGTGCGACGGAGTGGCCCATGAATGCTTGCGCGAATGATGACCACTACTCACATTTGCCGTGGCATAGTAGCCATCGCTCGTGTATCGAGGCGACGCCGTCGGCGGACGGGGACTGTACTCGCTGAAGCCACTGCTGGCATTGCGGAAGTGGGCGCGAGTTGCCGGCCGCTGGGGGGTTGAGCCGGGCGGGTAGTAGTAGTTGGATGGACCGCGAGGGGAGGGGGTTGGCGTTGCCGACTGGAATCGTTCCCGGTAGTAGTAGTCCTCCTCGCCGGGAGTAGATCCGGTGTAGGGTGATGGATAGGCCATGTTGACTGATGGCTCTTTCTGACGACGTCGTCGATGGGAGGCGTCCACGATGTTTTTCAAATCTGTCTTCTTCTTTTTCTCTAGCAGCTGCCTCTGCTAGCTCTCACGTCTCCCCCCAAAATGTCGTTATATGGTGTCGGTGCGGATGGTTGATTCCAGGGCCAGAGTGTCGCGCCGATGTCAAGGCGCGAAGAAAGGTGAAGCAAGTCACCTTGGTATGCGGTCGGAAGATAGAGGAGAGGAAAGTCGTCTTCTGTGCCCGAACATGACCAAGTTTGATATAACTGCTGCAGATGACCCTCGATGACAAAGGATCGAAACCAGATTACCGAGCGCGGGAAGGAATCTCCTCGACGTCGGTAGTGTGTGTGGGATGGAAGTTGCTAGAGGCTTCTCGGAGGACGCCAGCGAAGCAACAAATGACGTCTCTCTTGTCGAGGTTGTTTTTGCAAGTGGTTGGGAGCCGAAGCCGAAGGTGTAAAGATCAAAGATTATTCATTGATTGGCAGAAGCCAAAAACATGAGAAGAAAGAGAGCAGTCCAGTGTGGTGGTGAGGGCAGCGTGGTATTTAATTACTTGGTGCGTATCCCGGTTTTTGTGGGAGAGGAGAAGGGAGGAGTGGGAATGCGCGCGAAAAGATCCACAGGGGGTGGTAGGTGGTCCAAAGTCTCGCACCGGGGCGTAATGGCTGGAAGAACCAAAGCAGCTCTCTCTCCAGGGACCCCTGTCCCTGTCCGCAGAGACGAGCAGGGGTGGCAGGGGTGGCAGGGGTAGTGGGCTTGCCTTTTAGAGCGCCCCTCTTGGGAGGGAACACAGACGACAAGTTCCTGAGGGGGAGGGGTGTCCCTATGAAAGTACTTCCAACAAGTACCTCGTGCTCGCCGCCGGTCTGCTCCTGTTCTGCTCTGCTTGCTCAGCTCCCGCGGTGAGTAAAGGCCCTTTACTAAAGGGAGAGAGGGGATGACTGATGTTGGTCGGGAACAGAAGATGGCAGCTCCCAATGAGAGAGGAGAGACGAGACCAAAGCCGTTGGCTTGCTGCTGATGCTTTGCCGCCGATGGTGCTCCCTTCTACGACACCAGCCACCTGCGCGAATACCTACACCGTACGGTGTCGACTGGACCGTTTTAACACGTTGAGTGCGTGCTTTTTTCTCTCTCCCAGACCAGTAGACGGCCCGTTGACTGGCCTTGCGTTGCTGTTCCTCCTTCGTTTGTGCGTTTGTGCAAAATCGCGCGGAAGCAAGCAGCGGCTCAGATTCTCAGACCGTCCAAGCCCGTCAAGTCTGTGGTTCAGCCAGCTGTCGCGACGCACCAATGCGCAGTCCAGCTTAGATTGTCTTGCTGGGGCTTAGAAAGTTGCAGTAGTCGTAGTCGACGCTCTCTGCTAGACAACGATGATGATGAAAATGACTCCAGTCAGCGTGGTTGGCCACGCTCTCGGTCTGAATATGTCAAACACAGCCACGTAGCGTACTCACGGCACAGCTGGACCAAAATGTGCATTGGTTCGCTGCTGACTCGAGAGAAGCTCCTGGAAATAGAAGACACGCATACACACAAAAGATCGCACCCCCAAAGGCACGTCCGTGGAAATAAGGGGTGGCAGTGAAGAATGCACCTCGTCGTCCAGACCACTTGCGTTTGCCTGCAGTCGCCCTGTGGCCTACTGCACCTCGATTCCCAACGTTGGGCACTGGCGCGCTGGAACCCTTTGATTGCTTTTTTTCTTCTGATTGTTCGAGTCACCGTCACCGGGTAGTGACACACTATTTCTTTCCTCTCTCTTGTCCCGGGTTGATTCTGATCGATGGCCTAATTTCAGCCTTCTATATTGGTCCTCCGCCAGGGTTGAAAAGGGCATGAACAGGCTTTCCGCCGAAAGGTGAAGGTCGACTATCACACCTTCACGCTGAAATGAGCCACACCAGTATCAAAATTCGGTCACCGCTTCTGATAACGACTCTGGCGCCCCAACGGCCAGGGACGTTTAACACCCTGACCACGCAGGTACCTAGACTCAGGACTGGGAGGCCTTGTCGTTTCACTGAGTCGACGCCAATGTCCGTGGGACCCCCCCGGCTAGCGGTTCCTAGTCCCCCGGCGTAACTTGGTCGTGGATGAGGAAGAGGGGCGAGGGGCACCGAAAAAAAGTTCCAGAGATAAAGCCCAGTAATCCTTGTGAAAGTAGGCGCTGCCGTGTGGGTGAATATACCGGTGACCGGTAAGCGAAATTGGGTCTTCGCACGAACAGGCTTGTGAATTTGAAATTTGGAGATGGCTTCCACCACACCAAAAGAGAGAGTAAAAGGTCTCCAACGGTGCCACGGGAGACTCTCACCGGGTCAGTGCCGCTAGAGCGTCCCAGATGAAAAATTTTCTCGTTCCCCTGGCGTAATGTGGCTGGTCGCTCTTTGGTCCTTGATGATCCAACACAGGGTTGCAATTGTTGGGATTCCGAGGGTGAATCACACCGTGTCAAGGTGAAGGCCACCGAAACGCGAGCCCACCCGCCGACAACGAGCCGAGAGGGCCTGGAAAACTCAAATGCAAGTTGCTGGTATGGAAATGATTTGGTGGTTTGACGTTGCAATGTCGAAGGAATTCCACAAAGGATCAATGGGATTCAAATGGGAATCGCGTACGACAATAATTGACGGTCGCCGGATTCAACTATGCGCCCGGCAAGAGGTGAGAAGAGGATCGGCCCCCGACTTGCTTTGGGTCGCTCTGATTGATGCGTCTTGTTGTCGATGTTGGTACGGAGAGTGATGATGGTGTTGTTTGTGTGGTCGTGGCCAGGTGCTGCCTGCTGCTCTTCCTCCGTGCGCCCTCGGTGAGGCGGTTCGGACGAGCAAAGCAAGATTGTGAAGTTGTGGGCCTGATGAATCCCAGTCACTACCCTGGAGGATGGATCAGGATTTTTCTCGTCCTCTCCTTTGACCCCGGCACGTCTGTCTGGCCGGCGTTGAGGCGTTGAGGCGCGGTCGATGCTTCGGTCCTGACGGCAGATGAGATCTGCCGTTGCTGGAAATGAGCAAGTTCGGTCCGTGGTACGGATACTCTGTATCTTGTATCCGTACGTGGTGGAACACTGGAACTCGACAGGGACGGTTGCACGCCAAGTGCTGCACGACGGGAAGAAGGGCTGGGGCTTGGAGTATCGCGTCGCTCGCTTGGTAATCCCGCCGCGGTGAATGCTGACTACCTACGGATAGACACTGACTGCTGACGCGACCGCCATCAATCGCAATGGAAACCGGCTAGCCTGGCCAATCGATGGCTCGAGACGAATTTGGAAGCTCTCTGGATGAATGGGCCGGCCGTCTGGTGCAACTGTGTGGATTTATTTATATTTGGATGATTTGTGTGACGAGGACGGATGGTTCGTCGCAAGAATAGGCAACGGCGACGTTATTTGCCTGTTTTCGTATCAGGTGCGTGTCCCGCGGATGGTGAAGTCGCAGATGGGATGACGAAGCGTGGGTATAAGAGACGAATGCAGGTAAATGGCGAGAGGCGAGAGAGAGAAACAGGACGAAGCCGTGGTGCATGTGATGAGGGGAGGAGTCAAAGGGGCATTTTTGTATTTCATTCAAGAGGCAATCATGCAGAGCAAGAGACTGGACCAGAAATTGGAAACGAAAAGGCAAATCGGAAACCTGAGGCCAGAGCATGTCAGATGCAAGAGCGCATGAGAAGCATGCTGAGGTGAAGCTGCATCATGGCTCCAAGGCCATATCTACCTTGGCCAGGCATTGCATGCATGATGGATCACGTTGGCATGGGAGGGGGAGGGGGAGGGGTACAAGGGGCTTTGAGGGATGACGGACATCAAAGTGCAACTTTTCTCATATCCGATGCTGTGATGCCATTTGCTAATTATTGTACTTGTTTCCTCCTACCTCCCCCACCTCGCCAGTCACCTGCAACGCTGGCTGGGAAGTCGGCGCGTGCAGAGCAGAGAAAGATACGCAGAGGCTCATCTTCACAGGATGACCGGCAGACGGCTACTACTAATACCTCAGTAATGTGCATGTATTTCACACCCTCATAAGATTCACCAGTGAGAGGAGGCTCGAGTGTGATATGGCAGGTGATGAGCGGCATGTATTACAGCCAGTATGCCCTGTTGACCAACGTGAAATGTCAAGTGACTGGTGAACAAGCGCCCGTCGGACGTGAGGGTGAGTAGGGCGATTGGGGGGGACGAGGCGTGATGGAGTGACATTGCGGAGGTTCGCATCTTGAGTGGAGGAGTTCGCCCATCACATGCACCCCAACGCGGGGTGATGGAATATGCAGCTCGAGGTGGCCAGAATGGGCAAGGTGGCCCCTCTTGTTTTCTAGACCACTGCTTCCCTGCCCTTTCCATTAACAGCCGAGAAGTGCGTGTAGCCCGCCGCCTGCGTACCTGCCTGCGCCATTGCTCTTTTGCTGTGAACTTCACCTACCTGCCCACGTGCTGCCTTAACTGCCTCTCACCTGCCTCTCACCTTCCTCACCTAGCGGAGGCACCCAGGCACCGAGGAGGGAGAAGGCAGAAAGGAAGGTGGAGGGGGGAAGTGCCTTACTGCGCACTTTCACTATCCAACTATGCATACTCCGTACCTTACACCCTACTACGTAAAATGTACGGATCCTTTCTTCACCAGCCTGCCTTACCTAATATAGGTAAGGTAGGTCGAAGGATGTGGTTGACAACTTCGTTGAACATCCAACCAAACACAATACCTTGCTGCATCTTTCCGAGTCACGACCGGAAGTTCGGGTAGCCACAGGTTCGGATGAGATGGCTACCTATTGTCAATACGAATACCGTACGGACTACAGGCCCCTGCATTAGAGTGTGCGCCACAGCTGGGATGAACCCGAGAGCATCCCCAATTTGAACGTCAATCACGCACTCTATTGGAATGCTAACTTACAGTGCGTATGCAGCTTTTTTTGCCTCCTCCTGTCCATCATTTGTTTTACCTATCTTAGTCTCCTCTATCCGTACGCAGACACTCAATGACTCTCGCGCAGGGCCCCTGTTGCTTCTCCCGCTTTTCAGCTCCGACCGCACGGCACTGCCTGTACCACACTCCACAACGGCCGGCGCTGACTCGAACACGAATCGCAGAGCGCCAACCGACGGGACGGAAGGCCGGCGGCGGCGACCAGGGACGACGCGTATGGAGATTTTCCTTGCTCTACTCCATCGAATGGGATTCATTCCAGAACAATTGGCCATGGCCTCAGCCAACTCCATCCACTGAAGCGGTCCAGAACCGGCCCTCTTTTCTGGTCCTACCTACGGATACCATACGGTTGCATACATCGCCAGCCACAAGCCCTGGCCCCCCCCCCCTTGGTTTGCTCTAGCCCGCCAGCCCTCTGGAGACTGGAGTCAAATCCACCATTTTGGGCCTCCGGATGAAATCGAATGCCTTCCCCGTTGCCCGTCGCCCCTCTCGCCTCCATCAAGTACTACCGAACAAGTTTGCCTTTCAACCCGTTATTTGTATCGCGCTTCAAATGTTGGGGTTGCTTTCCACGGCTTGCCTTATTTCGGAGACCATCCGCCACCAGCTTGCCATGGCGTCCTCCGTGCTTGCGACCTGCCTGTCCCAGCCTCCAGGCGGCCTCACCTCACCTGGCCCACCGCGACCAGTCGTCACGGTGTACGGTGTACGGTTTGCGGCGTAAGGTGTGCTCGGTCAAATATTTTTTTGCCCCTGGTCGTGGGACGTGCTGCCGACAAGGGGTGAAAGGGGAAGTTGGCTGGTGGACTCTGGAGAGGCCGGCGATGGTCCTGTCTCACCTTGGCTGGCTCCCCTACACACCGGCCTACATCTCCAAATTGTGGCCGCTCTCGGGCCTGGTTATTTTGACCGGCATCTGCAATTTCACCCACATTCATTGGCTTCTCACCTCGCTTCCTCGTTTGTTTTTATTGATCTTGCTGATCTCAAGGGCAACGCAATTGGCCGGCAGTATACGTACGGATAGACAGTGCACCATTACCCTGGTCCGTTGCGGCCCAAGCAGCCTTTCAACCCAAGCATTGGGTGTCAACAGCATTCATCATTAACGAGTTGCATTTTGGCAATGGTTCCGACCTCGTGTTCGTCATACCATCCTAGACAAACTATCGGAAAGATTGTCCCTGGATTCCCCTTGGAACATGAGGCTGGCTATCATCATCTCTATCCAGACGGATACCTACCTATTCAGTTGGCCTTCAGACCAGGAATCGAATTTTTTTGGTGTTCAGCAGAATCAAAGTTCAGCACACAGTACCTACTCCGTAGTCTTCCAGGACTCCTGCGACTCCGCGTCTGTCAGCCTCCGGATCCGACAGGCTCTGTTGTCTCCAGCCCTAGTGGCCGGCTCAGCTAATGCAGCCATTGAAAGAGAACCTGTACCTCAATAATACTACATGCGCAGGTCTCGCGAGCCAGGACTGGGCAGGCGCTGCGATGCGAGCCATAGAGGCGACAGGCGCCCTGGGATCGCAACTGCAACGATTTGAACCCCTGGAGTGTCCATGTGGTCTTTTGCCCGATGCGCTGCGCTGCGTAGGGCAGCGCATGCCACGAGCCTTTACATCAACTCGACTCGACTCACCCTGCAAAATTGCCGCCGTGGTCTCATCGGCCATGGCTTTCGTATGCAATACCGTTGTTGTGGCTCGGCCTAGCTTACCAACCCTAGGACGACCTGAGTCGCGTCGTGTCTGTCTTGCCTTGCATCAAGCAGCCGCATGTCTCGGTCAATGTCTGTTTTTCCCTTCTCTTCCTGTCCGCGCTCATCCGTTGCATCTCCCGACCGCCTCACGGACGACTAACAATAGGCACTACGGATAAAGGGTACCATCCGAAAGAGGGAAAAGGGAAAATCCATCCAATATCAGCATTCCTCAAATGATTGACAGCAATCACTTGCTTCAGAGGCAACCGGCATCAACTTGAATTCTTTTTCGTTCCTCACCGACGGCCACCGGCACCCCGGAATCGTCAGAACTGACCGAGATCGACTTACACGTCCATATCACCAGCCATGTTTCACCAGCCGTGTTACTCCATACAGTCAGTGTTAGGTACTGTATCGGCGCCATCAGTTCAGAGTCCTCGACTCCATCAGTCTGCTTCTTTGACCGCACACCCACTGTCTTGGTTTGCTCCATCTATCGACAGGCCACCTGTTGGGGCGAGCCACCGAGATGGGAAGATGGGCTTTTACTCTCGTCATGAGAGGATGGAAAGGGCATCGCCAGGCCACAGGCTTCTGGTGTCCCTCTTCTCGCACGCCCCTTTCCCCTGCTCCCTGCAGCGCAGCCGCAGAGCGAGCGAGATAGCGTCACACAGGCTGCTGTTCCTAGCGTGCCGGGTGGAGTTGATAGAGATGGCAACATTTCGAGCACCCTGGTCTAACTCCCCTGCTGCAGTTGCTGCAGTTGGAGATGGTTCCACATCAGACCAGCGTCTCCCGTGTGTCCAGCATTGAACCTGTCTTCTCCTAGTCCTCGACCATGTCTCTCCTCCACTCTCACCCAGCCGTCTGGCTAGATGCCGCGCGCGCACGCTCTGGCGCTGGCTTGTGACGAAAGGGCTTCAGTGCGTTCTGGATCTCGCTTGCTAGGTTCGCTTCATCCCACCAGAAGGATAAAAAAATACCCTTTTTGAACTATGATTTTGTTCTAGAAGATCGCACACCTCTATGGCCCTCCCTTCATCTGCACTTCGCCGCGGGCCGCAACACTCGGTCAGTGGCCTAGGGTCCGGCCATGGCCATGGCTGTCTGTTTGCTTCATTCCAACTGCACAGAGTACACTACTGTGGCAGACCGAAGACTTGATTGCTTCCCTGCATGTTGTTATTGTTGTCATTGTTGACCCCAGTCGGCTGGTGTCAGTGTGTGTGCGAGTGTGCCCTGGTTCCAAGACTCCCAAGGTGCCATGCGTGCCCATGCGGCAGGTTGCGCCAAATCTTCCGTGTGTGCGTACTGTAATTTGCTTTTTACCCGGCATCGACGTGAAAATTTTTCATCTCTCACCGAGAATAGAGCACGTCACAGTTCATCCCCCATCTCTCCTTAAGGTAGGTATACAAGACCACTCTCCCATCATGCCAGCCCTACCACCATGCCATAGCACTAGATGCGGGAATGGGACGGTCGCTGCGGAGTGACTCATCGGAGCGCGCATCAAAGCAGGGCAGGAAGCAAGACCAGCGCGCCATACACAGAACACTACGGATACTAGGAGGTGTGTAAGTTGTGCGGTGTGCGCGCGCGGTGTGGAAGGAAGAGACAGAGAAAGAGAGAGAGAGAGAAGCGCGCTACAGAAAGCCTCATGTCGTCCGTCCCAACGTTCACGACTCCTGCTGCACTGCTGTCCAACAGCCCAAGGCTGTCGGCTGTCTGCTGCGCCTATCAACCCTCCTCAGAGCCCTTCTCACGGTCATCCAAGGGAGGGCCTCGGTCCTGATTGGGCGTCGATGAACACGTCGCACGGCGAACTTGATGAAATCCCTTCCTCCGCCTCCGGCGCACCAACCCGTGTTGCCAGTCAAGTCGACTGTCGGACGGTCAGGGCCGCTGGGAGGGGACGCTACTGCACCACAAGGGCCGCATCCGCATCCCTAATCCTGCGGCCAGCAGGGGTCCACCGCATTTTACATTGTCTTCCCGGCTGCTTCATTCATTCCCGTCATCTTCGACTCTCCGTCTCTCTGGTCACTGGCGTCTCCGGTCTTGCTCCCCTAACCCAACGCCTCCGACGCGTTGCAACCATTTGACGGCCGGGCTCGAATCGCACACACCCACCCCGTTGGCATCGAAACACACATTGAATACCCACTGGCGATGCCCTCACTGACGTCTATTCGCCCACCACCGCTGCCCATCTACATGTCCACCGTCATGCAGTCCGTCCATGTCCATCCATGGTTGATGCTGCCAGACCATCAAATCTACATCACCGCTCTCTCATTGACTCCGCCCGTCATACATGGCTCACACCCTTACTCGACCAATACCGATGGGACGGACAGCCATTTCCGGCCAAAAATAGGCAATGGCACTGGCAACCGCCTTGTTATTCTTCTTTTCCTTCCTTGCTACTTTTTCTTTCCGGCCCTCCGGGCCCAGACCGCAGATGTGACAGGCGCAGAGCGAAAGCCCCTCCTCACCGACTCTTTGCGTCCATGGCAACCGCCCTACCATTACCGCATTCCACCTCACGGACTGGCGGGGCACTTGCATGGCATTGCATGTTGTTGCAGACGCGAGGGAGGGAAGAGGAGGGGGTATTACTGCTTCATGCCCTATTTTGACTTTTTTTCTTCCGTTGATTCTGCTTTCGTTCTGCTACGCAGTGGTTCAGACAAAAATGCCCGCTGCCCCCCGGTTGGGTTGAAGATCCCGCATGTACCTGACGACAGGGTCGCCTTAGGGCTCAGTGACGTCGAGCATGCGCACAGGAGTATCGCTTTTGAGTCGTACAATTGTACGTTTGTCTGGGCCAGTGTCAGGTGGTTCCGAGTGAGGCCATCGCCATCACGAGACGGTGTGGCGCGTATAGATTTGCTACTTGTGGTGTTATCTAGGACGTATGATATATCGACAACACATACACAGGGCCGCTAGACGGATCAGCTCCCCCAAGGAGAGAGATGCAAAGACCGAAACCAAGCTGTCCGGCTCCCTAGGCCTCTACTAAGCTTGTGGCTGATCCTGTGATGGATTTGGACGATGATCGCCTCTCTCACCCCGGGGCTACGGTAAGGTATAAGCGACAAGCGAGAACCGAAGAAAAGCGGGATACAACCTCCCGATGCTCGTCTTTTGTCTTCGTCATGCAACCAAGTGGGAACAAACATGGTGGGAAATGGACGAGAAATCCGCCCCTGTTTCGATGGTGGGCCGCGGGTGCGGAGGAGCGGTACTCGTCCTTGCTCTTCTCAGCTTCATTCCTCCGCTTCGGCTGGCGGAGTGCATTATCGGTGGCCGATCATGAGCGGTAAGCGGCAAGACCGCGACGGATAAAGTTGTGCGTCAATGTCCTGGCGGCGAGATGCTGGGCCCCTGCCTCAAAGCCCCTCTCGGTCCCTATGTAAACCGATAGGGAGGACGGACGGCCGGTCGATCGACCAGCCGCTTTTCTACATCACCCCCCCTTCCCCGAGGAGGGGGCGGGGGGACTCTCGATCGTCTTCATGTCCACGTTGCTCTAGATTCGTTGAAGATGCTGATGGTTTCCTTGATTTTCGGTGCGTTCGCGCTGCGAGGGCCTGGCTCCGTAGCTAGACAGTGAACAACGCATCGTCGGACAGGGTTCCGGCAACGCGCGACCGGCCTCAGCACGCGCTTGCTCCTGCGCCTGGAACATGGGAAGGCATATGTACAGAGTATGTATGCTTTGGGGTAGGGGACGGCAAGCCAACGGATAGCGCCCTGGTCACCGTCCGTCGCCCTGCGCTGCGCTGCGGTCTGCACGCCTTGCCGAAACCTCACGCATGTCTGTCTGGCTTTTATCTTGGCTCTTTTTTGACCTTGAGAGGCCCCCCGCTCCATTATCATCCTGGTAGCGTGCCGGGCGGTGGCACCTTATTCCAAATGTGCTTCCATGCGTTTACCGGGCAGGAGGCATCGGGCAATGGTCCCCCCCTATTCTGTCCAAGGTAAGAGCAGCAGCTCTATGGGCCAGATCAACCTATCGAGAGAGGGAGGATAGCACCTAGTGTGTACCTGGGTGATTGCTGCGGCGACAGAGTCGAGCTGGACTGGACTCCGCTGGGGATTGGGGTTACGGCTGGGTATCGTAGGGGTGGGAGACCGGTTCATCGGGGAGTGCGCGTGCAAGGGGAGAGGGTTTTTGCAGAGGGTCTTTTGGAACAAGAGGGGCGGCAAGGCATCTCACCTCAGTCGGTTGCTGTTATTCGCTGCAAACGTTTTGGGGGGGTTTTTTTTTTTTTTCCAATTTTGATGTGCATTTATATTTGAGAATTCGCGAATCTGTGCAGCGAATTGCGTCGAGGGAGGGGTTAATTTAAGAGGGGTTTGATATCAGGGCTGATGAGGCATGTAAATTTACTGGACCGATGGTGATGGGATCAGGTTTGGCCAATGAGGTTCATTTCATATAACTTGGGACTTGCGGTCTGAATTACCATCAATGGCATTGAGGATACCGACAGATTGGCTTTGCGTAGTCAACTCGGGGAAAGGGTCTCCCGCAAAGAAGGCACTGTGGCAACACGAGACGCGAGGAGCCATCGTCGAGCCCGCGATGCTCGAGCTTCGCCGGGTTCCTTCATTCGGAGGAAAGGTGACTCCGTCGGGACTGAATTGCGAAGCCCATGTGACCGCAGCTCGCACTTGTTCATCACCCCGACGTATGCGCAAGAGAGGGCGAGAGCGAGAGGGACGCCGGGCGGAGGGAACCCATGATGGACAAAGAAGCCACTTGGAACAGCCGTGGTAGGTTTAGGTGAGTGAACCACAGCCTCGAATTGGCATGTCGTCAAAACCACACGCGCGGACGAAGCGAAGTACACCGAAGGCAGACCAAGGGAAAGGGCAAAAACCACGCGGCGCCACACCCGGCCGATGTACCCAAGCATCCGGACCAGGATGTGTTGAGGTAAGCGACCGTTGGCAGCCCCCGTTCCCCCCCACACCCTGGACCATGTGGCTCAGCCGGCTTTGTAATCCTTGCTTGTGGCACAGTTCCTCCAGAGTCTAGCGGTGATGACCAATGAACAAGCTCGGGCTAAAGATTCGCCACTCGCCCCCCCCCCCGTCCCTCGTCCGGATCTCCCGCGCGCGCGGATTCCCGGGGGCTCGGTCGCGCTGAAGAGAGCGAAGACATGGGCAGCCAAAAAGTCTGTCCGGACTTCGACACCCCCCTTGAAGCAGTCAGTTGTGACTCTTATTTTCTATACTGTTCTATACAGAATGACAAATGGTGATATTTGGCAGTTATGATACCCAACAATAAAAGATACATTGCCTGGGATGTATCTTTTGAACGACAGTGGAAAGGACACACCCTCTGGTTAAAGTCACCAAAGTACCCTTTTCTGGTCCGCGTGAGTATGACGCAGCGTTTATGTTTTTTGGTTTTTGTTTTTTGGATCCCGACGTGCAGAAGTGCACTGGTGTGTGTGGCGGACTCGGGCTGCACTGCAAAGTTCCCAATCATTTTGGGCAGCAACATTGAGAGGAATCCATCATACCTGACGGCGTCTGCGCCCTGCAACACAACTGCGCTGCGTTTTTCTAAACGCATGCTGATGCAAGGCAAATCGACAGCGCATTTCATTGGGAGCAATCGCATATCCCTCTTCCTTGCTCTTCCCGTTTTCCTTCTTTCCTTCTCTTTTCTTCGTCGAGGTAAGGTAAGGTACGTGAGGTTTCCCGTTGGGCGGCCAGGGGGGGGGACAGGGCTAGATCGATCTATCTGTCCATCTGCCCTGCCCGTCTTGCTGACGAATTTGAATCTGTAAATTCCGTAATGGCCAGCTGGCGCGCTGTGAGTTGGCTCTGTTCCTCTGCGTGCTTCTTGGTTCTCCTTTTTTTTTCCCTGTTTCCTCTTCGACAAAGTGTCACCTGTGTGATCTTACTGGTGTTTTTCTCGTCGTCGCCGCCCGCGCGCCTTTGAATACGCTCACGCAGCATCGCTGATGCCGGGCGTCTTATCTGCGCCTACTTTAAACGCCTTCCATCCCCGAGGCGTGTGCGTGTTTGGCGACGATGTATGGTCGGTATAGGGGAAACCACCACTACCACCACTACATCCGGAACCTGGGTGTATGATTTGCTGGCCCTTTTGCACACGCCTGTGACTCACACCTGGTTTTCCACCCGAGTCCCCCGTTCACCACTCTCCCTCTCTCTCTCTACGTTGCTCGCTTTCACTACCCTCCCCCCCCTTCCCCCCCCTTAGGCTAGCACGCAGCCTCTCAGAGGACAATCTGGATCGTGCGGCTTGTCAGGGATGGAAAGAGGCTGTGCAACCCGGAGAATGGTTGGTTGTGATTGGTTCTAGTTGTTCCCGGGAGTTGCGGGTGGTTGGGTAGAGTTTCCCGGGTGTACACAAGATGTTGCCACTCTTCTGGGGATTCGGGCGAGAGGTTGCTTTGGGGGCCAGGCACCGAGCACGATGACGATGCTGATTCCGTTGCCTTGGGATGGTTGGATGGGGTGCAGGGAAGATCAAAGAATCGATGGGAGCGAATCGTTTTGGCGAAGCTTCCTTCTTCGGGGGCGGGTTATGTTTCCCAGGGTTTGTGTAGGCAGCAATCCGCGAGTATCAGCGAATGGAATCCGAGATTGTACTTCCCATGGCTTGTATGGAAGATTGGGACTCTGGCTCGGAGTCTAGATAGACCAAATGTATGACGCCGTGATACAAAGGTTGGAATTGTAAGAGGTTGATACTCCGATGCTCGTGACTGCTATGAGTCTTATATCTTCACATGCCTCACGTTCTTGGTGAATCCCGAGTCATCCTGACCAGTGCCCAGCCGCCTCAACCTTCCAAACGGAAGCATCAGCGTTGTAGGGAGCTTTTATTGACATCTCACGAAACACAACTTTTCCAAACATGTGCCGTGGCCAGGACTTGTAACCGATAACCGCACACCCTCTATATCATCGAGATGTCCATCCATATGTGATACGATCAAAGTAAAATACGATTGGTGCATTCAGCAATGGGATATCAAAGACTGTAAACAGTGTCCACGCACTGGGCTGTCGTGAACTCGAGACCCTGAGCGTTTAATAGGTCAAAGTTACGAGCTGGGCGATGTCACCGGTATACCGGCTGGTCAACGAAACGCAATTCGATGCCTGGAGAAGGCGAAGGTCAAAAAACCGTAGATAGTTGAAGCTGTGATCACGAGTCTGAGGAAGATGACTCCTCGTGGTTCAGGTTACATGCTAGAAGAGGCCTCCGATGCGGCGAATCCTTGCGAAGAATGGCTTCCAAAGCTCTCTGCGTGCCCGAGCATGTGACTGGGTCGAAACTACCTTGCCGTGGCTTATGATGAATGGTGATGTAGTCCGCATTTTTGTGTACAGAATGACTCACGGCGATGATTGAATCTGGTACGATGTTTCAGTTCATCTACCTCGTACAACTTTCTTGCGAGAATGACCTGTTAAGGCTTGACTATCTAGGACCTGGGAGTTGAAGGGTTTGTTTGTGAATTAGGCAGGGAACGGAAAACATGCTTGATTGGAGGTATCAGAAAAGGTGAGCTGTTGATAACTTTACTGTCCGAAAGAAGAATTACACTGAGATAACATCTAGATAGTTTCGTCGTCGGTTTGGTTTCCGTCGTTGCCTGACTTGTTGCCACCTTCTCTCCCGCCTCTGTCGTCCTCATCACCTCGATTACGCCACTCATTCTTTTCATTTCGGTCACCGCATCCGTCCCGTGCCGTTGAGTGCAAAGATTCCGGCAGGTTCTCATCTGTCAAATATCCAGCCTCAGGTCCGATACCAAGCGCCTGCGGAGACTAAAATGTAGTATTTGGTCCGATATGCAGCCTGGACAACTTTCCAAATTACAATTACTTCTATCCAAAGAATACCACCTACTTTGTAGCACACCCAATTATACAGGCGTTTCGAGGTTTGAGGCAGCCGTTGAGAGATCTGTTTGACACCCTGGTTGACTTCTCAGTACTCGCCTAAAAGAGGGCTTTCTTAAAGACGAGCGCAGAGAGAACTGACTTCAGTCTTTCATCGTTAGGGGCAAAGGGGTTCTTTGTGGTAAGTCCTAAATCAAAGGGTCGTTTACAAAGAGTCATGATCTAATGACGCTCTCCAGTCCCCACAAGGTGTACGACCCTTCTCCTGACTTGTGTAGTCAAAATTGAGACTTAATGGCTCTTGGCTGGAAACTGCCACATTCATGGGAGAGTATTCAAGATCCAACGAGGTTCGCAGAGCTGCTCTGACAACTCTCTCAAGGCTCTACCTCTAAGCAGGAGATTGAGCAGAGATCAATCAACATGCGGATAGTAAGACAGCGTGGACGACAAGCAAGTAGACCGATTCAAAGATCCCGAGTTCTTGGAGACTTCAAAGGGCTATCAGGAGAAGACTGCCACGAATCAGAGATAATCCACAATCAAAACGTAATTCAACATCCTACACACAGGCCTAATGCAGACAGGCGGAGCGAGCAAATGGCACCGCAATGAGTTCACGACGGGCACAGATGCCGGCGAATTTGATACCTCTCCATGTCTCTATTCACAAGCCAATATCAGATCCAATTGATCATGTTCGACAAGGCGTGGCCGAGAGTCGACCTCCAACGTCAAAACTACCGGCAAATGACAAAAAAGCAACTCTGGTCCAGCTAATGACACCACAATAGCAAAAGATTGCGTCGAGGGGGAATCGAACCCCCGGCTCCCCGACGCTGCTTCATGGCAACGGAGAATTTTACCACTAAACCATCGACGCTGATTGAAAGCTGATGAGCTGTGATGGGAGGGTAGGTCGAATTGTGCGTTTGAGTAGGGACGTGGTGCAGGTTAGTGGGTAGTGGTTAGATTGGAAAGGGTTTTGGGACCCTGATGTGTGTGGAGCATCCCCCGGCGCCGGCGCCGGCGCACAGGGGTTAGGGCCGCTTTCGATGCTCCTACATTCAATTCTATCTGCGACTTCCTGTGAAATCTCTCAGTGTTCGTTTGGCTAAAGCCTGGATTTAGTTCTCAAAGGTGCTGTATGAGCTACAGTCCCATGAGTGTTGGGGGGATGCCAGAGCGCATTCTGCCCTGCCTCTGTATTCAGCCACTGGTACCCGCGGCTTTCGGCCCCGGATCCGCGTCTCCGCGGTGGTTTATCAGTCGGAAGCAAGTCAGTGATGCTTGAGAGGAACATGGGAATTGCGCTCGGCGATTTTCACGATATACACTCAAAAGCCTCCCTCTTGTTGGAAACAGGTTGAGATTTTCGCTGGGACAAGGACGGTACTCATGTATGATATTGACGAACAAGCATCGATCGCCTTCAACACTAAAATGATTTATTGTGGTCATTCGATTCCAACCTCATTTTTTCGTAACACTCTGACTTATAAGCGTTTAATGCCGCCTACTGAGCGCTTAGTGTTTCTTTCCAATCGACGCTGGCTCTCGTCTTTGGCGTCGCACCATTAGGTTGGGCCCAAGGAACCGATAAATGATACACTGGCTCCAAATCAACCGGCGCAAGCTGCAAGTTGTAGCTGGAGCTTCCCGCCTTCCATTCTTACAGATTCGGCTCCGAGATTGTTGTAGTGTCTACGCGTTACGCAGTGTCGTACACCTCCAGGTTCCAAGTATGTAGAGCGATACCGCTAAGCTACCTCATAGTGTATGGGGTTTTCAGCCACCAAAAAGTTCCCAACTGTATGGTACATGGCGATAGCAAAAAAGGCGGCTGTTTTTTTTTTTTTTTTTTGGATAGCCGCGTCTGTTCTGGTGTACCAGGAACCGGTGCGCAAATTCGGAAACACTTCGTCCTACACCCATTCTAATTGAAAACTGCCACGAATTATTTTCTGTTAGGTAACAATACCAATTCAAATTCACCTTCACCAACTCCCCTATATTAACATGCGCCTATGCTAACTAGCGTTCTCATACTTACTTGAGCTACTTTAGTAATGAGGAATCTGGCATAGCAGTGCGGCTGCCAAACAGGATTATTGAACCCTCGAAGCTATTTTCACCTACGGAACAGAATCTTCCAGTTACGTATGCAAGGTTTTAAACTGAAGTGGAAGGAGTTCTGCATTGGTAAGAGTATTTGCTGACTGGAGCGGGGAGTCGTTAAAGAGCTTGACCTAACGAGGTCTGCTATCAAGCGAAGCACCATGAGTTGATGGATGTCCATAAGACTGAAGGTATTGAAGATTGTGATATGAGAGAGGGAGCAAAGAGAGAGCTCACGAAAAGCAAATCTTCCCAAGAAAGAAGAACAGGACAGTCTTTGAAGATTCAATAGCAGTATATCCTGTATGGAGGTCTCATCAAGCCCCGGAACTCCTCCCGCCCACCCGGTCGGGGCCAAGTAACCAGCAAAGTTCAACGTCGAGAGCCACTAGCTTCAGGAAACAATATAAAGCACGTAGAAACCACCTCACTAGAACGCGGCGTCTCCATAATTTCCTTCTTCCCCCTCGGAACCCAGACTTGGGTCTATATAAGGATGAGCTGAGTCCAGCAATGCCTCATCTAGCCGACTCAACAGCTTCTCATTTGATAATTCCAGTAACTCGGATAAGTCGGAGGGGTCAGATGGCGAGGAGTCGGAGCCGAGACTACTTACGGAGGCCACAGTTGGATTGGGAGAGGACTTTTGTGCCAAAGAACACTGGTTCTCCAAAGGATTAGAAGGGAAAGGCTGATTGAAGTGCTGCAAGGGCATCGTGGACCTAGCCTGACCACCACCGGGATTATACTTCCGCATGTTCTGCTGATATATATACTGCTGAGACATGACTTGTTGCACCTCATCTTGGAACCTGCTGTTCTGATACATGCCGTTGTTTTGCATGGCCTGCTGAGGCTTGACCTGCTGAGGCTTGGCTTGTTGAGGCACGGCGATCTCATTTGCCTTGCCCTTGCGGGAGGCTTGCGGACCGTGAAAGCTGCAACGATGCCGTGAGCGTGACAATGAAGTCTGAAATGACTTAATCGCTTGCTGAAGCCGCCGAACATTATCGCCGCGTATCTTCAAGTCTTCAACCAAGGTCTCCGGGGGTGCTTTGGCTAACCGACTCAAACCGAGGTCCTTTGGGTTCAGCCTGATGATGCACTGTGCCAGCCACTGAGCGGGATTTCCGCACGACTGGCCCATGAGCGGCGAGAACGTGGGAAGAGTTGCGTCGGGCATCTTGATGGACGCCTCGAGATCCAAGAGCTTGCACGTCACTGGCGTGACGCGGTCCATTGTGCCCGTAGAAGCCCCGTTGTGACTCCAGAGAGCCCGCGCCACCTCGAGCCAGAAACCTGGGGGAAGAGCCACGTCTTGGTCATTGTGCTCGTGGTAGATGTCGATGATACACTCGACTAATTCCACCAGGGCATTAATGTGGATCGATCTTTCGTAGAGCTTGCCTCCCATCCGGAACTTGTGCTTCACACTGGCCGCTCTGCCGCAGATGGTCCACAGCAACCGGTGCTCCTTGCCGCGGAAACATGTCTTGGTATAGTGATTCCCTGTCCAAGATCGTAGAAGCATCTCGATGCAGCGTTTCCCGTCTAGGCTGAGCCCTTCGTTCTCGCATTCGTCGACCCAAAGACGCTGGAAGATCAAGTCGAAGATGTGCTCCGAGAAATCCTTGATTCTATGGCCCGGAACATCGTGATCGAATTCCATGTTCTGGAGGAGATATTCAAGCATACTCGCCGAACATTTCTCGGTGACTGCGAACATCAGAATTGGTTCTTCCGCTCCTTCGGAGCAACAAGACTTGAAGAGGCTGATGTGCATGTTGAAGGGGCAGGGTGTAATGAGTATTTGCCGCAGCTGGTGCTGTTGGCTTTCCCAGAGCTCTACATCTTTGTCTCCGACACATATTCTTCCCAGCGTCTGGATGAGACTGCGAATTTCATTCAATCGACAACCGTTCTCGTGAGTATACTTGCACACGTGGGCCATCTTTTCAAGCGGTATGCTGGCTAAGTTGCTGGAGGAACTCGAGGCTGATGATTCGCTGTACGAATTAAGTGTCACTGTGTAAGAGAATCTTGAGAATAGTCAGTATCACATGGAACCATGGGAATTGATGAAGGTAACTAACAGGTAGGATGGTATTGCTCGTTGGAAGTATTGGAGGCCGAAGCAGACGCCACTTGTCGAATGATGGAAGAAGACAATGAGCTGCTGGTAGGAATTCAGGTGCCTGAAGGAACCAGGTAGGATGGGTCTTTAAGAGAAGAAAGAGAATGATCAAGCATAGAATGAAGCGATTCATACCGTTCGTGGGATTGACCGGAACCTATCTCCGAAACACAAACTTTTGAGCAATCTCCGGTGGCTGCTTGAAAGTGTAAGGTTTGCTTCTGACCTTTTGCTTCTCAAGGTCAGAATCGCTCAAATAATTGGTATAATTTCATCGATGGACAAAAACGGAAGCCTTAGGGCGTGCTTTACTTATACACTGCTCACAATTTTCGAACTAGGAGACCATGATGACAGTTATGGACGGTGTGCGGGAGGTTTCGGTTGTATGTCATTAATGATACAAGGACGAAAGAAAATAAAAGGAAAACAAGCAAAAAGTGCTTAAGATTTCGGAGAATTCCTTGTATTGTCTCCGACATGCAACTCTGGGCGTTGCGAGGTCAGCCGTAGAAGCGAAGAAAGCCAATAGGTATATCGTGACTTGCGGTTGGCGTCGAACACCCCCACAACATCACAATCACCAAAATCAGCAAAAAAACATACAACACCAGGTATTCGCTGGTCGTCACCGACCCAACTACTAATCCGGCCCTCATTAGCTTATCTATGGGAGAGCGGACGGGATCCCGAGTTTTCCAATGGGTATGGTCGTATGTGATAGTTCTGCGAGGGTAAGACGATTATATGCTAACAGTTTACAAGGGAATTGTGTCTGGATGTAAGCAGAGGTGAATGTGGACATGAGTCAAGTTTGATAGAATTTGAACGCTTTCATGAGAGATACACCATGAGTCGCTGTCTAAAAGTGCCTGGATCATGTGAACCATCTTGCGGTTGCTCCTTGGCTCCGCTCACGGCGAGTGTCGGCCGGAAACTCGTTTCAACTAGATAGAACATCATGAGATGCGTGGCGTTCCTGTTCCGGCGACGGTTTGATGCTGGCCGATCAGTACGGATAAGGGAGGTGAACAAGGTGGTATCACCGGTGTGGCATGGCGTGTTCGATGGGCGTTGGTCAACAGGTCGCGTGCTGCCTGGGTGTGCTGGGATCGGATGAGGATGTGCTTGAGGGTGATCTAGGTGCGGGGAAAATCAGCCTCTCTCGTACCCCAATGACGTGTGGCTGGCGTGCCGAGACAACGACACCTCCTCGAGAAGGCTCGCTCAGGAGTCCTTTAAGACCAAGTAGGCAACGCAGCCTCTCGAATGAAGAAGGTCGCAAGGCTCGAGAGCGGCTATGAGACATGGCGAATTGAATCTAGGAGATAGACGAAGGTTCGCCATGGATTTTTAACAGGAGCTATTGATCCGAGTCTGCGAACGTGGCCCACAAGCCATCAGTCACGGTGATTTCAGATGGTCAAGCAATGATATGTTCGGACGGTCGGTTCACCACTGGATCTTGGTGCTTTCTAGTGCCTTCGGTGCGTCTTGGAATGGAGTCTTGGGGCCGTGTCTTTGGCAGGTGGAAAGGCGGGCGCTCAAGAGTATTGCTTCGGGGGCTTATCTAGCCGTGGCGAGGATGCCAACATCGATAATACAACTTGGCAGGTGCTTGGTACCAGTGGTGAAGTGTTGATAGAAGTACAAAAATTTGCCAATCTATTGGCGATGGTTGGCATTTCTCGGCTGGCGAGTGAGACGGCGCGCATTTGTGGATTGCGCAGCGTTTGTCTCTGGGCAGCTGGTGGGGGGGAAAAGAGAGGGCAGACGGTTTTGCTTTGGTGCTGTTTGGGGGCAGCCGTGGGAGTTCCGGGGAAGTAGCGGTCGTGTACCCACTCCCGGGGGGGGGGGGGGGCGGTTGTTCATTCATTTGAATTTGCGAATACGTAATCGCATGTGTGATATCTGTACCGCCATCTTCAACGCTGACTGGCCTGATGCCGATGTTTTTGGTTCGGCCAAGGGCTCGGCAGGCGTACCAAGTCTGCAACCGCAAATGAGAGGCATTCGCAGAGTAGTGAAGTGAAGCATGGGTGGATGAGGACCGGAGACATGGAGTGACAGGCGATTGATGTGGCTAATGCCTTTCGGGGTGGTTTCGTTTCAGCGTTTGCCGTTACTCTTCTTCTTGCGACGTGCGCATGCCTAGGTACCATGTCTTGAATAAATTGAGCTATTGACGATGAAATGCCGTTGTCGGTCATCGCTGGTGCCATGGGCGGCGGGTGGGCTCAAGTACGGCCGGCAGTTGCTTGGCAGGAGACGCAGTTGTCAGACGGAAGTCAATCCGGGACAGGACCTGGAGCCATATGGCTGCATTCGCCGTGGGACTGAATCGAATTTGTAGGCATGAGAGAGGCACAGCTGATAGAAGACAACAGCAGACAGGGGGCGGGAGATAAAGACAGTGGGACGGCGAGGTGCCGACTGGATCCTTCATCGCACCTGCTTCGCGTCTGTCATGTTCTTTCCAAGCCGCCCGCCTCCCAGATCCTCCCTGTCCCATGTTCCACGGCTGCCTTACCTTACCTTACCTAGGGCACTTCCGAGGTCCCGCATCTCTCTGCCAAGATCGACGCCCCCCCGCCGCCTCTAGAAGGCGGAGAACGAGCTTCTATGCATCTGCCCGGGCGGGCTCCGCTGCTAATGGCATGCTACGACTGCGGTACATACATGATACAGGTATCTGCCTCTCGTGATGCTCCCTCTTCCTCCTACCGAGATGCCATGTCATTCCTGTCTTCTCGTCCACGCCAGCCGCCAACAATACCCATGCCAATCAGCCTTTGATCTCTCCAGTCGCCGCCCCAAAAGACAAGCTTCCAAGACTCTAATCGATGAATCAGCAATTTCTCAATTATAACCTTTCCTGGAACTTCGACTTGCACCTTCTCTTGTCGTCCAGCACCCGGTCTGCTTCACTCCACTTCCCCAAGACTTGGCCTTCCTCTGGCCCTTGGCACACACCCAGCTTACTCTCTCGGGTTTGTCCATCCCTCCTCTACGGCCTATCACTCGTCGATTAACGCCGTCGACTTGCGTCTGCGTTGCCCTGCTTCCGCCCGCATCCCTTCGCCGCAGATAACTATGTCCAGAAGTAGCTTCTTGGCGGGACAAGGCGACGCCGGACAGGACGTGAGGGCAGTGGAGACCATGCTGGTGTAGGATGGACGATGAGGTTAGGTAGTATTCTTCTCTGAGCGATCGACCGTACCTTCTTTTTAACTCACAGCGTTCCCCCTCCACCACGATCGACTTTCTCCTCCTCTTGCGCTTCACCACTCGTCTACTACTTCAGGCTCACCTGATTCTCTCTCTTGCACTTGGTACCCCTGGCCATCCAATCCCGTAATTCGATTCACAGCGGGTTACTCTCCCTCAATGGCGACCGAAAAGGACGTCCATGATGGTGTCTCGACGCCCGAGACTACCCAAGTCCAACCCGAAAGTCGTACTGAAGGTCATGCTATCCAGGACAAGACCGGGAATGTCATTGGGGAGGGCCACCTCAGCCATGGAGGTGCAGTTCGTGACCAGGACTTTTACACTCGCAATGGACTCAACTTCGAGTCGTTCAAGCGCCGAGACTACGGAGTTGGCATAGTTGAGCTCGACCGTACCATGAAGACCCGTCACTTGCACATGATTGCCATTGGTATGGACGAAAGCCCCAACAGCATGTGAATCTTTATTAACATTCTCGTCCGGCCAGGTGGTTCGATTGGTGCCGGTTTCTTCGTCGGCTCTGGAGGCGCTCTGGCTACCGGTGTTCGTTCCAGCACCGCTCGCATACACTCGCATGTCGTACTGACAGAACGCAGGGCCCTGGGTCAATTCTTCTCGACTTCTCAATCATTGGAATCATGATGTTCAATGTTGTTTACGCTCTTGGTGAACTAGCTGTCATGTATCCTGTGTCGGGTGGTTTCTACGTCTACTCAACTCGGTTTATTGACCCCTCTTGGGGCTTCGCTATGGGATGGAATTACGTCTTCCAGGTAGGCCGCTTTGTTTTCAAAGCCGCATGAGCCTTGAGGAAATCTCGACATATCTTACTGACGAGTCGCAGTGGGCTATTGTTTTACCACTCGAGTTGACGGTATGTGGTTTGACAATCAACTATTGGGACGGCGCCAGGAACATCAGTCTCGCTGTTTGGATCACCATTTTCTGGGCTGCAATTACCTTCATCAACATCTTTGGGACTCTGGGATACGCTGAGGAAGAATTCTGGTCGTCCCTTCTGAAGCTATCGGCTATCGGTAGGCTAACACTTGTTGTGGTATTTTCGAAGTACTTACACCTGTTACAGTTATCTTCATGATTGTGGCACTGATACTCGTGTGTGGCGGTGGCCCTGCTGGTGGTCGCTATGACGAGTACTGGGGTGCGCGCTATTGGTACGACCCTGGCGCGTTCAAGAACGGATTCAAAGGCTTTTGCGCGGTCTTCGTTACTGCTGCGTTCTCTTTTGCTGGTACCGAGCTCGTCGGCTTGGCCGCTGCCGAATCCAGCAACCCCTTGAAGTCTTTGCCAGGTGCCATCAAGCAGGTCTTCTGGCGTATCACTTTGTTTTATATCCTCGGTCTCTTCTTCGTTGGCCTCCTCATCAGCTCCAACGACGAGAACATTCTTGGCGCCGATAACCCTTACGCTGACGGCACATCGCCATTCGTCCTGGCGGCCAAGTACGCTGGACTAAACGGCTACGATCACTTCATGAACTCAATCATCTTGGTGTCGGTCCTTTCACTGGGAGTTTCGTGCGTCTATGGTGGCTCCCGCACTCTGACGGCTCTTGCGCAACAGGGCTACGCCCCCAAGATCTTCACCTACGTCGACAAGTCTGGTCGCCCTCTACCCTCTGTTGCTGTCCACCTTGTCTGCGGCGCCCTTGCCTACATCAACTTGGACGCCAACGGCGAGACGGTCTTCAACTGGCTTCTTGCCATGTCAGCACTGGCTGCCCTGTTCACTTGGGGATCCATCTGCTTGGCTCACATTCGATTCCGCAAGGCCTGGGCCTACCATGGACACACCGTTGACGAGATCCCTTTTCAGGCTGCTTTTGGTGTTGCCGGATCCTGGGTCGGCCTGATTCTCTGCATCCTTGTTCTCATTGCTCAGGTAAGCTTTGATGCTCGCGAACGTTGTCTTCCAAACCTTCTTTGTACATCAATTAACCACGAACGCAGCTCTTTGTCGCAATCGCACCCGCTGGACAGGGTAGCGAGCTCAATGATGCCGCTGGATTCTTCGAGGCTATGGTTACTGTACCTGTCATCATCGTCTTTTGGATCATTGGCTTTGCCTGGAAGCGCACCGGCTGGCTCCGTACCCACCAAATGGACGTGGATACCGGACGTCGTGAGCTGGACTGGGAGGAGATGAATCGCTACAAGGCCGAGGTTGCTTCCTGGTCTACATGGAAGCGCTTGTACAACAGGTTCTTTTAGATCTCTCCTCGCGCTACACTCAATGTGTTTGACTTCGACAGCGGAGTGGAAGCTCTTGGAGCTCGAAACATCTGGGAGAATCTTAGCGAAGTTCTAATTATGTAACATGTACTTGGATTCCACAGTCTAAGGTATCACTCCGCCTATTCCGAATTCCTCATGTAAACGAAGTAGTTCAGATGGCCTTCTTGAAGTTCAACCAAACTTGGCGATTCGTAAATGGGAGCCGTAAGTGTGTCTATTTCTCCCGTCATTCTCGACCTTCATTCTTGTACAGTCTGTCGCAACAAGTATTGTAGAGTTGAGAACGCGAACATGAGTTTTTGCTGTTGACGACAAGGAAGTTGGAATACTTGTGACATTTGATAGGCTCGAATAATACTCCCAAGAGTTTAGGCTGTCGAGGCTTCGGGCCACTATGAAGACGCCAACTTAGAACGGAGGGGTGGGGATAGTCATCGCAACCTGGCTACGAGAAGCTGCTTTGAGCTGCGTGACATGAGCTCCGAGTCCCTGGGTGACGGAAATGGTGGGCCGCTTGAGAAGGCGTTGATGAAGTACATCAGGGCCACATGCCCGGTACCTAGCTTGTGTCCTTGGCCTGTATGCCAACGAAGGAGTCTGGGATGTTTCAGATGCTGCCGTTCTGGGCTTGTCCCGGGAATCCTGCAGAACTTGACGAACGACAAGCTTGGGCACGATATTGATGTTTAGAAGCCACTAAGACCGCCAAACAGCTTGGAACATGTCTGAGCTGGTGGCCCCTTGGAATCAAAGTGTTCCTTCTTTGTGTAGCTACAAATTTGTTGCTAGATGGAGCTCGCAGACCAAATTTCTCTCTATCTCGTGACTTGTGATGCTATATGCCAGATGTGTGCGAATGGCTGTCCCCGGGGGAAATGTTCTACGATGAAGGACAGCCGCTGGCGCATGTCTCTCCTACTCACCAAAAGAAGAAAACATCGAAGCCGTAAAAGAGTGGCCGCCACGATCAGGCCGAGCCCCCCCCC